GGGGCGACCTCCGCTACTCCATCAACACCATGCTCAGCTTCGGCCTGTTCGGCATGCCCATGATCGGCGCCGACATCTGCGGCTTCAACGGCGACACGACAGAGGAGCTCTGCGGCCGGTGGATCCAGCTCGGCGCCTTCTACCCGTTCTCGAGGGACCACTCGGCGATCTTCACCGTCCGGCGAGAGCTGTACCTGTGGCCGTCGGTGGCGGCGTCGGCGAGGAAGGCGCTCGGGCTCCGGTACCAGCTGCTGCCTTACTTCTACACGCTCATGTACGAGGCGCACACGACGGGGGCGCCCATCGCGCGGCCGCTCTTCTTCTCCTACCCGCACGACGTCGCCACGTACGGCGTGGACAGGCAGTTCCTGCTCGGCCGCGGCGTGCTCGTCTCGCCGGTGCTCGAGCCGGGCGCCACCACCGTCGACGCCTACTTCCCCGCGGGCCGGTGGTTCAGCCTCTACGACCACTCCCTCACCGTCGCAACGAAGACCGGCGAGCACGTCACGCTCCCGGCGCCGGCCGACACGGTGAACGTGCACGTGGCCGGCGGAACCATCCTGCCGCTGCAGCAGAGCGCGCTGACGACCTCGCGCGCGCGCCGGACCGCGTTCCACCTCCTGGTCGCGCTCGCTGAGGACGGCACGGCCAGCGGGGACCTTTTCCTGGACGACGGCGAGTCGCCGGAGATGGGCGGCAGAAGCGATTGGAGCCTGGTAAGGTTCAGCTGCGCAACGGGGAGCGACGGGTCCATCAAAGTGAGGTCGGAGGTGGTGCACAACTCGTACGCGCAGACCAGGACGCTGGTGATCAGCAAGGTGGTGCTCATGGGCCACCGGTCGCCGGCGGCGCCGAAGAAGCTCACCGTCCACGTCAACGGCGCGGAGGTGGAGCCGAGCTCGCCAGCCGGCACACGGTACCAGAACGCAGGAGGACTCGGCGGCGTCGCCCACATCGGCGGGCTGTCGCTGGTCGTCGGGGAGGAGTTCGAGCTGAAGGTCGCCGTGTCCTATTGAGATTTAGGCAATTTCAGATTTGGAGCATAACATTAATTGAATAAAGACGAGAAATTAAAGTCCAGATGAATGGCTTCAATTCGAAAATGAGATATAATGGCATGATTATTTTGCTAGTTCATGAAGAATTGATGTTTTTGACGTTGAACGGCTTTCAGTTCACGAATAATTGAAGCAATTCTCGTATCACAAACGGGCAGTGCGACCTGCCGTGCCGTGCCCAAGGAAATTTCAGTTTCAGAAATATTTCAGCTTTTGCCGAAATCATCGAATTTCACTGAAATTCAGCGATTAAAGTTTTCATTTCATCCAAAGGACCAAAATTTTCAACTAAATTTGAAGATCCAACTAAAAATTTAAAATACAAAAAAGAAAAGTATTCTATATAAACAATAAAATAATAATAATAATAAACATGCCTGTGAGAGAAGGAAAAGGAGAAAAACATGAATGTTTTCAAAAAAATATTCTACATAAACAATAAAAAATAATAAAATGAAGGAAAAATGAAGACAAAAGTTATACCAGGATTGTAATCATCCATCTTTTGATCCCCCCTTCATCAAACACCTCAAAGTTAAATAAGTTACCTCAAGCAACCGGATCAAAATGAACAATATCACCTAGCTCTATACTATGTGCTTTCCAAAGTGAACTAACCAAATGAAGTACTAGCCTCGTCCCCCGCGTCGCCAGGGCGACACGGGGGAAACCCTAGATCGGCGCCGCCACCCCCTCCCCCCCTTTCCACCCTCCCCTTGGCTCACCGCCGCCGAAGGAGCAGCCGGCAAAGGCCGCGTCGGCTCCGGTGAAGGTGGCGGCGGGGCCCTCTCATCTCCCTCGTCTGCAAATTTGGCGAGGAGGCTGCCAAGGACGGCATAGGGCGGGGCCATGGCAGCGCGGCGGCTCGCGTGCGCGACACGGCGGCCCGGGGTGGCGCGTGGAGGGAGGTTTGCTGCGGCGGCAGTTCACGGCGAGTGGCTGGCTGCGGCGGCTGTGCGGGAGGCGGGCCGGCGCGCCAGTCGGGCGCACGGGCGGCGCGGTCGTCGGCCTGCGCGACGGAAGAAGGATGTGGCGCGGCTGCTCGCGCGGGGCGCGCGCGGATCTGGCCTGCGCGCGACGGAGGGGAGGAGCCATGCTGCAGGGGCGGGCGGGCGTGGTGGTGAGCGCGTGTCGGGCGGCGCATGGCTGCTCGCTCCCGTGAAGCGGTGGGCCTGCGTGACTGCGTGGGCGCCGGCGTGGTTGGGCCTGCGCGCGGATCTAGCGCGTTGAGGAGGACGTCCCGGAGGCTCCGCATGGCTGTGACGGGGGAGGCTGCGGATCCGGGCTCAGGTGCGCGGGATCTGGTGCTGGAAGGAGAGGGACGGCACACGAGGGTTGCGGCGGGCGTGGCCACGCAAGGAGATGCTGCGGGCGCGTCGAGGGTGCGAGGGGGCAGCCAAGTGTCGGGTGGCCTAGATCTGCCAGGTCGTCCATGGCTGGCGGCCCTGGAGGGGCACTGCTGGTGGTGACCGGCTACCGCTTGTTGGAGCAAGGAGGCTCTGGCCGCGGTCGGATACGGGATGCAGGACCCGATTTGGTCTCTGCAGGCCTGTCGTTGGGGAGGCTAGCTGGTGGCCCTGCACAGCAATGGCGTGCTCGCTGTGTGGGGGTGCGCGGTCCAATGGAGGTACGGGTCGACCTCGGCCTACTGCGCGGGAGAGTGGCTGCTCCGGGTGAAAGCCTGGCCGGTGCTGACCGGCCGGCGACGACGGCGCCCTTGGGCGTCGCTATCCTCCTTGGAGGCGTCGTCGGGGATCTCCAAGCCATTACTCTCGGATCAAGTCCTTCGGGTGAAAACCCAGATCCTGCTGCAGGGTCGGGCGGTGGCGTCGTCTTCAACGTCGTTCCCCTCTTTAGGGCGCCGTCTTGAAGACTTTGATCCCTTTGGTGCTTCTTACGACTGGACGTGCACGGTGACTTCTGTGGCAACGATGACGGCGGTGAGCAATGTCGAAGGCGTGGCCTTGGTCATGGTAGTCGGCTCTTCTTCTCCGACGTGTCCGTGGGAGTGCCTCGACTGCCTATTCCTGTGAAGTCGAAGCCGCGGTAGAGGGCCGGTGGTATACGATCACGCGTGACAGATGGTTTGTTCGGTGATCCTCCGTGACGCCAACCTTGCCTAGTTTCCTTTGTAGTTCATCGTTCGTGTCAGAGCTGCGTTGTCTAGGTTGGATTATATGGAGTATTGTGTTGCAGCTATTAGGGCTGTTTTTTTTTCTTTTGATCTTCGGATCTTTTGGTCCTAGGACCTTCATCATCTTGTTGTTTTTTATTACTTCCTGCTATTATCAATGAATGCCAGCGATGCTGGATCTTTAAAAAAAATGCTTTCCAAAAAGCGCCGCAGATGTATGTCTTTGCATTGTGCTTCTCTATAAAAGAAGCCGTAACTTCGACCATGAGCACTCGGAGCTGCCATGAAAAGATACACACGGCTATTCAAAGTTTCTCTAATAAGCAGAGCACCACATCATGATTTTTTTGAGATAAAAAAAGCGCATTAAAAACACAAGCAAAAAAGGGCTGTAAAAAGCTAAATAGTATTAAACAATTATCATTAATTCTTCAAAACCTTCAACCATCATACTTTGAAAGCTCTCTTCTCCTATCTGATCTACGACAAAATCCCTTAGGTTGATGACAGCTAGAGCATTGATTTGACATTTCAAGATTTTGGTACGTTGAGAAACAACTGAAGAAAACACATGGTTAGAATGCCATCATGTAAGACACACAAAAACTAAAAAAAATCAATCATACTGAAAACACACAAAAAAAACTAACTTACAATATTCCCCTCCTAAACCCTGTCTAGGTTTTTGTCCACTTTTCCTCGTCCAAGCTTGTTTGACAAGTAAAGTGTATGTAAGGCCTTTGTCCAGGAATAGAAGGCCCACGTTAAGGCTTTTGTCCACAAGGCCGTTTTTTTCCTTTTTGAGAGGGGGGGTGACAAACAAGCAAACAACTAGACCTGGGGAATCAAACCCATTACGCGTCGCGTAAGGAGCGACCGATGGCATTGTCCACGTCCGCAAGCTACGAGACAAGGGAGTTTTTTTAGAGAAAGACAAGGGAGTTGAGTCCATGTTGGCAAGGTTCATTTGCTTCGTCGCGAAGAAAGGCGAAACCTAAGTCGTCCCCTCCACCCGATGCCTCCGTTTGTCTCGCTTCTCTCTCTCTCTCTCTCGCCTTCGGCGGCGGTGCCCTCCTTCCCTCCCTCCCTCCCCGATGACGGTGCTCTTTGATGTTGTCGATCCCCTTTCGTCTATCTCCCTCTTTCCCGATTTAGATCGACGAAGCCGGGCATGTCCAGTCCACCCTTTTCTCGACCAGCCCCGGTGTCGGCGCCCAGCGACCATGTCAACAGGAGGAAGGAACCTATCGTTGTAAGGAAGGGGCCACAAAGTAGATGACGTCATGTTAGATGTGAGGTATTATTTTACATCTAGATGTGACATAATCGGATCCTTTCTGTTAGCTTGGATAAACCGTGTCGCGAGCTGCATCTTATAGTAAAAGATGAACAGTTTGTCTAATTCACATCTAGATGTCTTTTAAGGATGTCACATCTAACCTCCCACAAATATATAATGCATCAACAAGAAACAAAAAAAACTAGAAGAAAAAAAATAGACCACAAACAGAGCGAAAATTATGTCACATCTAGATGTGTCCTAGACAGACCCAAAGATGAAATTCATTCTTTCTTTTTTCTTTCTAGATAATAGAGACCCACTTGTCTACAATCAATAGTACCATCGAAAATTATTAGCAACTATACCAACTATCCATTTCCGTAAGAACGATTTTAATTCGGCCACTATAAAATCACTTCGATTGTCTACATCAATACCGGATGACACCTAACTCTTCACTTATGCAGCTACTGCATCATCACCATGATCAGAAACATATCTAGTTTCCTCACTGCGGCTACCTCGGCTAGTCCAAATCAGACGCAGGGCGCTGATGAGGAAGCTGCATGCTGGAGATATCCTCTCGCGGAAGATGACCCAGAGAACCTTCTCCCTCGGTGTGGCCTGCGTCCCCAAGCTTCGCGTCACTCTCCAGCAATGGCAAGGTACACTTCCTGTTCTTCCTGAAGACGAGGTAGAGGATCGCGGCGATGTATATCAGCATGCCGAGGAACCCAAATATACCGGAGAACACTTGGGAGACGGTGGATAGTCCACTGTGAAGAAGCAGCCTGACGAAGCTCGTTATCAGGAAGTAGATGTTGATGACCATGATGAAGGAGCCGATCGCCCATGTGAGCACGGAGATCTGCACCAGAATGGAAATTGGACGCGCTATTATATGAGTATAATTGGATTGCTGCAGCATCATTGTGTATATCCAAATTATGCGATGAACGACTTACGAATCTTGAATTTGTGTGTGGCCCCATCTTTGTTTTGCTGCTGGTGAATTTAAGGAGTGGTACTAGAGCAAAAGGAAGTTCAAATGACAGAATCATCTGCATACAGCAGTAGGGGATTAGTTAGAAGTAGACTTAGGAAATGAACAGTGTGACTGCATGTGCAGTGCACCGAAGCAAAGATCATCAGCAATGTGATGTTAAGAACAGAGTTGCAGTGATTACCGAAGCAATGATAATCAACTTCCCAGCTGCTGAGGAACCGCCAATTAGTGACACAATCAGACTAGGCACAATTGCCAGGGACCTAGTTAGAAGGTTCCGTAACCAGGGCGTCATCCGAAGATCCAGAAACCCCTGGAGTAAGAAAAGAGTAAAGGTCAACCACTACTAGATGACAATTCATATATTTTGCCCAAAGCTTACTACCATCTCTACACATTTTACAATCTAGTTTAGCTTGATTAAGCCTGCAATCAATGGTAGATACACCATGTTTTCGAACTTTCCTGCTCATTTTATTCACAATTTATTTAAACAAGAAAAGATGGAACATCAATACGAGAATACATTCAAAACATAATTTTGTTATTCTAATAATTACTTTCAACATCAAACCTACATAAAGCTAAATATGATACTAAATGTCGTTAACAATCGCACAACATGGTCGGAGCCTTCATGAATTAGAACAAGATATGGTGTGCCAATAAGCTTTGCAGATTGCAACATATGGCTAACAATGAAGAATAGTAATAGAAGTGATACAAAACCTGCATGACATATTGTCCTGCATAAGTTCCTGTAATCGTAGAACTCTGGCCAGATGCCAATAAGGCAATAGCGAACACCTTTGAGCTCCAATTTCCGAGGACATTCTACAACAATAGGCAAAAGGCGATATGGGATCAGAATGTATACTGCAATATGGAATGTCTATTTGGGAGCCCTTAATGCATGAGTACCACTTCAACAAAAAATTAGTAAAAGCCAAATCCTCAAAGTAAGAGATAACTTTTTTCATCAGAAAGCGTTTCATATTTATCAAAATAAGAAAAATACGGAGGTTTGCATAAGACCTTTGCAAACGCCCAGCTTAGCACATGACGTATACAGCAACGTCTTTCAACAAATGTCCAGCTGATTAGCAGAGAACTTCTGCCGAAACCATAGTACTCCATCCGCCTTGATTAACTTGTCACAGGAATGGATAAAAATGGATGTATCTATAACTAAAATACATCTAGATACATCCATTTCCGTGACAAGTAATTCCAGACGGAGGGAGTATGTAGCACAAAATGAACAACATAGTCTACATCGCCAGCTAATAAAACAATACAAACACCACAAGTGTCTGACCAACCTTTAACAAGAATGAAGCTTTGTTAAGATCTAGATCATTGCAATTCATCCGGTCTTCAGGGTTCAAATTATCTGCACTGCAAACTGCACCACTAACAGATATGATAGAGATGTTGATCAGAAATGCTACTGTGAGGGCAAATGCACTTTCAATCATATAGAATCTACAGGCCTCCTGCAAGAAAGTGGAAACATATGTATGTCAACTTCATGCTTGTACTTCTGAAATTAGTAACGCAGATATGCTCAGAAGTCGGAACACATAAATTGTTTAGTCTCAATTTAGTAGAGCACATCAGCAAGGGTAAACAAATTAGGTGTACACAATCAGGTATCAAATTAACACAGATAGAAAAACTCAGTTATACATCAAATATCAGATAATATTCATTAGGTTAAGTTAAGATAGATTACTTTGATCCCATGAACTGATCGTGGTACTTTTCTTGACAGTACCAATGCTGAGTGGAGAAAAAGATTGTGCCTGCATTTTTTTTATCAAAACATGAAAAAGGTCCGATGTTACAAATTATAGAAATATTTGAGGGAACATGGTGGATGTGAAGCTTACGGCATCACCATAGCACCAAGTAGTGAGATAGCAAGACCTGTAGCTCCATCTCCTTTAATTTCAGGAACAAAAAGGCCTCGCACAACTTCTGAAGAATTTGGTTTAGAATACCCAAGTTCAACTAAGAAGCAAGTTGCTATCAAGAATACCAAAAATGCTATCAGAAATTCCAGTTTACGGACCTGCACAAAGCAAATCAATATGCAACATGAGCAACAAGAGAGATATAGAGAGTGCTTGTGCTGGTGAACTAATACAATACTGATGATCTGCTAATGTATGCTAACTGCTAGAAAAGCACATTTAAATACTGGTTTGTTTTGTTATATAACAAATGAAAACAAACACATCGCCCCTTCCAAGAAAATAAATTACGTCTGGAATCAAAACTAAACCTCATAGAAAAATACTTGCTGGTGAAGATAAACAGGACATGTTCTTACCCCATATTGTTGCAGGAACAGGAGCATCAGAGTGCTGAGCCCAGTTATGAGAACACCACACCATATCGGAATTTTGAAGAGCATGTTCAAAGCAAAAGCGGTTCCAATTACTGAAACGAATAAGCAACCACCAAAGCTGGTTAGATATAATTACAACTTTAACTGACAGTTCCCCCATCACAAAATGCTATTTTAAATTTGGAGTTGCTTTATAGTACTATGACATCATCTGCAAATAAGACGAAAAGGCTGAACTACTGAATCCAGGTAGCTCTGTAGTTCAGTTAGAATGCAACGTTTGCACGTTTTAATACCTTCAGGAATGTCGCACGCAACTACAGCCAGTTCTGCAAGAATCCATAAGATGAAATTTGTGACCTTGGGATATTCATCCCTGCAGTGCTCAGCAAGATGCTTCCCTGTCATGCAGCGGAAGTTTAAAAAAATATTAGCAACATACGCTCAACGAAACAAGGATAAGTGCTAGTGCTGCATGTCTCGTAATACTGACCAGTCACAACCCCAAGGCTGGCTGCAAGTGATTGAATTACAAGTGCAGCACATGACGCGATAAGTATGATCCAAAGAAGCTGCCAAGAAAACGAGACGGTCATGCTTAATGGTAGATATAATCATCAGATAGCTGAATGGCAGATGAAGGAAGTACAGTCCATAGAGTTCCCAACTTTAAAGGAAAGATAGGATGGACAGTACCCAAAAATATGCTAGAGACAAAGGAAAAAAGGACACACCTCATATTTGTATTGTGCTCCAGCCTGTAGGTCGGTCTCAACTGCAATATGGACAAAATTTATTTTCATGAGCTGAAAGCGATAGCGAATGAATAGACGGAACAAAACGAACACCAAATCCAGCTAATCTTACAATTGCCAGGATCGATATACGCGATAGAGACGAGAAAGCCGGGCCCTATGTATGAAAATAAGTTCTTCCAGCTATTTTTCTGCAACAGCACAAATCAACCAGTAGTTGGTTAGTTTTCCTCATCTGTATCAACTGTCCAGAAATAAATTCAGCAAACAAACTGATTTGGCACATAAGGTCAAGAAACTGCAAATTCTTTACACGTCAGTACATCAGATGCACATGAAAGAACAATCTTGTAGGAGGAAAGAGTGGGCCTAAGCCTAACTGGTAACCCTTGAAATTAGCTGCATGCCATGGTGATATATTTTCTTTCTTTCTTCAAAACCAATCAAGAACTTTCAAGCACATGTAGCATACCTCGGGGATGACAATCTGATCAACATCTATGCTGTCAATGAGAGGAGTCCCCGGTCCATTCGAGAGATTGTTGTTCTGCCCGACACTAGTCATGAACTGCGGCTGCGATGAGCCTTGCCTCGGGCCACTCATACTCACTCTCTCCCGATGACACCCTGAAGCCGATGAGCTGCAAGCACAACACAAGGCGCAGTTATTTGTAGGTACGCTTTGCAATGGCGCTATCTCGCCCGCTTATAAGTACATAAAGAATATGCCTAGTGGAGGCGTAAGAAATCTTCCCGGCGGTAGGATTGCACTTGTAAGGACCATAGCCACTAACACGAGAAGATAAGGTAAACGAACATCAAGACCCGGAAACAGTGGACACCAAAAAGATACACCACAGAGTCACAGTGTGTGTGTACACAAAAGTGGCAATTTCAACCAATCTTGATCTGGCAATTGGGACGACGCTCTGAGGCCTGAGGCAAAGACATCTGCTTTTCAGACGGGGATATATATTCGTCCGCGCAAATTGGACGGCCGGGAGGTAAAGGGGGTTGAATGTGTGATTACCAACGCAGCATCGGGAATATAGAAACAATAAACAGTACCTAATAGTATCTTTTAGCAGTGGCTAATATTGAATTGCAAGCTTCAACGGCGACGTAGTAGCGCCAGCTTTATCCCATACGGAAGCTAAGCAATTGGAACGGGATCCTACGGGCATGTGGTGCAAGAGGGAGGTAAAATAATACTATATGGAAAGGGGTTTAGTGGAGCTTAATGGCGGCCGGGAGTGGCATGAGGTCATCAATCTCAGACGCCACGAACGAAAAGATGGCACTGAACCGTGAGGGTTAAGGAATCCGGGCAGTGATGGAGGATCCTCCTCATCGTAGATGAGAATGGTAAGAATTAACTAGGGAAAAGGATTGAGATCAAGAGCGGGGCTTGTGCGTGCATGCCGCATGCCTGCATCTCACTCCGAGATTCATTCCTAGAGAAATCCTTCCGCCTCCGTGGGAAAAAACTCCCGTCTTGCGGCGATCACGCCGATGGGATTACACGGAGCGAAACGAAAAAACAGAGTCCCGCGAGATGGGCGGCGGAAGCGTGCCCGGATCTGGGCGGCGCGAATTGCATGGCCTGGAGGACGGAGAGAGAGAGGAGAGGGCCCGTGCCGGGCGTACCTGACTGACTTCGGGCGGTTGGGCGGCGGCGGCGGGGGGGCGGGAGGAGGGAGAGAAGGGCGGAGACGTCGCCGCCTCTTCTTACTTAAGTCTTCTCCTGCTCTGCTGCGGCCTCGCGTCTCCTGGCAGACAGAACAGGAGTCGCCGAGTGGAGTCCCGTGGTCCAGCACAGTCCTCCAAGGAAAGGAAGTACTACGTCTGGTCTGACACACGAGCGGAGCCCGGGCGCCACGTCGCTCGCGGCCTGGCAGCCGTCGGGCCGGGGGAGCGCGGGACCGCGTCCGTCCGATCACGCCGCTCTGCTTCTTTTTTTTTTTCTCTTTGGGCTGCACGCCGCTCTGTTGGTGACGCTGCGAGCGAAGCCGTCTCCGTCCGTGTGCTTCCGGTGGCTCGGAAGAATGGAAGGTCACCGACCTCTCTGCTCTCGCTCTCGATCTCGTGGGCGTGGACCGGCCGCTGCAGCGGATACGGGCGTCGTTCCAAGAGAAAGCGAAACATTTGGCACCGCACGACCCAGAAAAGCGACTCGTGGTTTGCCGCCCACCCCGTCGGTCTCAGTGTAGATGGCTGTACTTTTTTTTTCCGAGGCATGTCTTTTTGTTTTCAAAGGATCGAATCAATTATAAAATTTCACCGAAAGTATAAAGCATCTTAAACATAACAAAAATTATGTTTAGATTCTTTAGGCCGCTGAACGGTTACTATTGCCGTCGGGACGAGCCGCTGTCACCGCTCTATCGGACCCGGATTGACCTTATCGATGACAGTCAGAAAGTCCTCATGCACGTGCCCTAAGAACCCGTGCCCTGGAGTCACAGTTGTCGCCGTTGAACTCTTGCATAGATCTAAAGCACGTGACACCAAATCTCGGCACATAACCGGGAACCCTAACCTCACCATCCTAAGAAGGCGACAAGAACCTACCGTCGACTACAACCAGACGGACGAGCTCAAGAAGTACCGGCGCCCGGAAGACAAACTCAAAAAAAAAGCGTCGCCATCCACCCGATCCCGCGTATGCGAGGACAAAAAATAAAACCTAACCTAAGTTACTAACCAGAGTGGAAGCACTAGGATTTCCCTCCCACCACGGCCGCTGAAGCGGCAGGTAGAGGGGGGGGGGGAGCGAATCCACGGGCTAACCGATGAGGCCCGGAGGGGATAATTTGGCATAGCCACTTAGGTTGGGGGGAGGGAAGAGAATTACGAGGTTTGCACCTTATTTTCTAGGAGCTCATCCGAAAGAAATCTTAAAGTTAAGCATGCTCGGCTTGGAGCAATTTGAGTATGGATAACAGGCTCAGAAGTTGTTTTCAGGTGCGCACGAGTAAGGAAAAGGTGCATATGAAAGACTAATGTTGGTTTGTAGGACCAGCCTAGACCCCGGGCACAAAGTCCTAGAACTGATGGGTTTGGCCGACGTGTTACAATTTTCAAATCTGTGATTTTATTCCAAATTCAGGAATGTTTCAAAATTCACAAATATTTTTTAAAAACATGAATATTTCAAATTCATAATTATTTTCTTTAACTTCATAATCTTTTTTGAATTTATGAACTTCTTCCAAATTTGTGAATGTGAACGTATTTTAAATCCACAAACATGTTTTGAATTCAAGATTTTTTTACCAAAAACCAAGTGTCAACTTTTTCCTGAAAAACCTTAGGGTCAGTTATTTTGGGCTTCTAAAATAAGTTGCACCCTAGCTAGCTTATTCTAGAAGCCCAATTAAAAATATAAGCCATCGGAAAGTTACTAAAATTCTTAAAAAAATTGGTTGGGCTAGTAGAATAAGTTGGGTAGAGGAAAGCTTATTCTGTTTTATTCTAGAAGCCATCGGAACAAGCGAAATCACTAATTAAGGAGTACTCGTTGTAAAGAACACTCCACTTTCCCAGGTCCCGATAAGTGGCGCACATGCAGCGCGCCACTTATCGCAATCTGGGAGTTTTTCCTTTTTTCGTAGATCCGTTTATTCAAAACATTTTATCTCTTAAACTGTGCATCCAAATCTCAAACCGTTTTCACCATTGGATTCCTCGCGTCAAGATCTTCAAAACTAGATCCATGTTGATAAGTTTTGACGAACTTTTTTTCACGAAAAAACCGAACGAAAAAAACTGGGAGAAAAAACCGAACCGGGAGCACGGTTTTTTCCCTTTCCGAAAGAGGCACGCCCGTGCCTCTCGCGAAATCACAACCGTGCCTCTCGTGAAAGCAAAACCGTGACTCTCGTGAAAGGAAAAAAACAGAAAACGTGTTTTTTTTCGTTTCCGAGGTTGTGCCTCTCGCGAAAGCAAAACCGTGACTCTCGCGAAAGAAAAAAAAACAGAAAACGCGTATTTTATTCCTATCCTAGAGGCACGGCCGTGACTTTCGCGAAAGCACAACCGTGCTTCTCGCGGAAGCAAAACCGTGACTCTCACGAAAAAAAAAACAAAAAACGCGT